ACTTCAGTTAGGGCAATATATTTCGTTTCAGTGGTTGATAAGGCAACAACCTTCTGAAGTGTTTCTTTCCAACTAATTGTTGTCCCAAACATAGTGAACACATATCCAGAAATAGACTTTCTGGAATCCATACAACCTACATAATCAAAGTCGACATATCCTTCGATTGCCGCTTTACTATCTTCACCCAAGGCTCCACCATAAATTAGGACTCTATTTAGAGACCTATTTATGTACCTTAAAATCCACTTCAATGCTTGCCAGTGAGCCTTTCCAGGATTCGCCATGTACCTATTTACAAGACTTACTGCATATGCTATGTCGGGTCTAGTACATATCATAACATACATCAAAGAACCTACTATGTTAGCATATGGAATGCTATACATATAAGTTCTTTCAACATCAGTGCTGGGACACTGATCTATACTCAGCTTGAATTGAGGGTTTCTTGGAGTCATAACAGGCTTTGAATTCGACATACCAAACTTTTCGAGAACCTTCCGTAAGTATGCCTCTTGAGATAAGCATAATTTCAACTGCTTTCTATATCTTCGGATGTCAATCCCAAGAATCCTGGATGCAACTCCCAGATCCTTCATGTCGAACTCCTTATTGAGTTCAACCTTCACCCTCATTACCTCTTCGACATTGTTGATTGCTATTAGAATATCATCCACATAGAGCAACAAAATAACAGATGAATTACCCGATTGAAATCTAAAGTAAACACCGTGGTCAAACTGACTTCTGATGAAACTTATGCGTGCCATGAACTTGTCGAATCTTCTATTCCACTGTCGAGAAGATTGTTTCATTCCATATAAGGATCTATTCATCTTGCACACATAATCTTCTTTCTGAGTGAACCTCTTAGCAACCAATCTTGCCATGTATCTCTTCGACGCCACTCCTTCGATTACTTCCTTAACTTTGAAAATCCATTTACAGCTGACTAACCTAGCTCCAACAGGTTTCTTGATCAGTTCCCAGGTGTTGTTATCATGAAGAGATTTCATCTCATCATCCATGGACTTCAACCATTCAGTCTTTTTTCGACTCCTCATAACTTTCTTATAGTCTCTAGGTTCTTCGTCTAGAACCTCACTTGCAGAGATTAAGGCATAAGCTATAAGATCTGCATACCTAAGTCTCTGAGGTGGCTTGATGACTCTCCTCGACCTGTCTCTTGCTAGCAGGTAGCCATTATCAGTCTCCTCATCTCGACAACATCTTCTGCGTCTTCTTTGACATCATCTGGGGTACGCAATTCATCATCAACATGCTCCACCTCAACAGGAATTTCTCCCTGTTCCAGCTCTTCATCAGCATCATCAGTTTTCTTGAAAGCCATCTCTACTTCATTCAAAACTACATCTTGACTAGTGATACATCTCTTGTGACCTGGATCTAAGCATCATAGCCTATAAGCTTTGACTCCTTTAGGGTATCCCATTAACATGCATTTCAGAGCTCTAGGTTCGACCTTGTCTTGCCTAATATGAGCATAGGCCACACAACCAAATACTCTCAGTCTGTAGAGACTAGGTGAATGTCCCAACCAAACTTCTTCAAGTGTCTTCATTCCTAAGACAGTCGAGGGACATCTATTTATCAGGTAAGCTGCTGCCGAAACATCTTCCGCCCAAAACACCTTCTTCAATCCAGCACTAACCAACTTGCATCTAACCTTTGATTAAATCTCTCAACTAAGCCATTTTATTGAGGAGTGTCTGCTACAGTCTTATGCCTTGCAATCCCAGACTCAACACAATAACTGTCGAATGCTTCGTTGCAGAATTTAAGGCCATTGTTGGTTCTCAACCTCTTAACCTTTCTGCTAGTTTGAGTTTCGACCAAAACCTTTCAACTTTTGAAATTCTAAAAAGTTTCATCCTTCATCTTCTGAATGAATACCCATAGCTTTCTAGAATATTCATCAATGATGGATATAAAATACCTTGCACCTGAGTGTGAAGGATTCCTTATAGGCCCTCAAAGATCAGCATGAATGTAATACAGGGATCCATGTATTCTTTGCTTGCCTTTGTTAAACTTCGCCCTATAGGATTTACCAAATACATAAGATTCACAAAACTCCAACTTTTTGGCTTTGCCACCTCCTAGCAGATTCTGCTTACCCAATTCGACCAGGCCTCTTTCGCAGACATGGCCCAATCTCATGTGCCACAATTCTGTCTTTGGCACAGGCTTCGTGGATGTAACATTTTTCGAGTCACTTACAACCTCAGCCTCAAGGGTATACAAGTCTTGTTTCTTCACGTCTCTCAAGACTTCCTTCGACCCCTTCATGACTCATAGGATAGTTTTCTCTCCTTGAAAAATGTATCCCTTTCTGTCGAATTCATCAAGAGACATCAATTCAAGTCCAGGTACATACCTGACTTCAGTCGATAACCTTATTGACTCATCATGGAGGTTGAATCTCACAGATCCAATACTTGCAATTTTGCAAGATTTGTTGTTTTCCAGCAACACAGATCCACCATCTTGATCACAAAGCTCATCAAACAATTCTCTGTTTGGGGTCATGTGCCAACTGCAGCCTGAATCCATAATCCACTCTTTTCTCGAGTCGCCACTTGAAACCACTAGAACATCCAATGAGTCGAAGTAATCTTGAACAATGGTTGTGTTTCCCAGTTCAGGGCACACCTTTCTTGTGTGACCCTCCTTCTTACAGTGATAACATTGAATACCAGATGTTTCGTCACTATAAGATTTATGTTGACTTTTACCTTTCTTCTTGTCGAACTTACCATACTTTTGCAAGATTTTTCCCTTAACGGCCAAACCTTCGCCCATCGTCGAAGGTTTATGCTTCTTTGTTTGTTCAAGTCTTTAGAATACAAGGTTGATTGAACTTCTTCAAAGGCCAGAGACTCCCTTCCATACAAGAGAGTTTCTTTGAAGCGAGCATGCGTTCTGGGCAAAGCACACAGTAACAACAATGATTGATCTTCATCATCGATCTTCACATCAATATTTTCAAGATCAAGAATCAGCTTGTTGAACATATCCAACTGCTTAGCCAACACTTTGTCTTCACTCATCTTGAATGAATACAAAGTTTGCTTTAGGTAGAGTCGATTCACCAGAGATTTGGTCATGTACAAACTTTCAAGTTTCACCCATAATCCCGATGTTGTAGTCTCCTTTGATACCTATCGAAAAGCCTTATCACCAAGGCTCAACAATATTGCGCTGTGGGTTTTCTCAATCATGTCTGACTTTTCTTTTGTCGTTAACGCAATGTCCATGGCTGCCTCTCCCTTCAACGCTCCTAAAAAACCCTGTTGAACCAGTAAGACTTTCATCTTCAAGTGTCATAGACTAAAGTCGTTCACTCCAGTGAACTTTTTAATCTCATACTTTTTTGAAGGCATAGTTTCCACGTTCACCGCACCAATTTGTTGTGAATCAGATGTCTTGAAAAAAATATAAATGATTTCTTTATGATCAAGAAATACACAAAGGTTATGGTTAACAAAGATAACAAGGTAAAACAATAAGGAACAACAAGGATTTGTTATAAACTGTTATTCTTTCTTTTCTCTTAGAACAATATTACAAGTATACAAGAATAACAAAATAACTTCTCTCTCTTGAAATTAAGATTTTATTTTCCTATTTTTCCTTAGGTCAAGATTGAGAAACTAGTATCCTATTTATAAGACAAATAACACACTAACTTAATGGACTTTTTAACAATTATCCATTACAAGCTAACTTAGGGTACAAGTTAACTTAAACAATTGGTTTTACAAACAAGACTCAATTCAACATGCTAATAACCTTAGCAATATTGACTAATCAATATTAGAACAAACTTCGACTACAATACGCATTACTCCGATAGCAGTATGCGAATATACTTCGACCTAATATTTAATTTCTGTCGAATTAAAAGTTATTTTTCAAACATACTAGAATTTGATTCAATATCTCACACCACTCTAATACACTTTTCTATTGTAGAGGTCATATCAAGAAGTAAATTTTTATCATAATAAACAAAGTTTATATCATGAATAAAAATCTAAATAATGGTTATTTTTATCTTTACTTCGGACAATATAAATTGCGTATTTCAATGGAATACTGCTAAGTAATAATCTAAGATCATCTCGGAACCATATGATACCACACACTCTTTATAAACTATAATATCAAATTTTACCGCAAAGTAATCAATGGAATTACTTTAACTCACGCCAATAATCTTTATATATATATATATATATATATATATATATATATATATATATATATATATATATATATATATATATATATATATATATATATATATATATATATATATATAAAGCCGAACATTTTCTCTGTTAGAGAAAATCATATTCATTAGACTCGTCACATCAATTCATATAAAATTCTCTTTAATCAATCTTAATACTTAAAATTGTTTAGTCATCATATAAATATCATATTTAAGATAGTGAGAAATAGACAACATTATTTTGATTTAAAATTTATCACGGTTAATTTAAAAAATTTGAAAAGATCTTGATGACTAATTTAATATTGATTTGTAGGGAGAAATACTATGAATACTTATTAAATACACGCTTTCTCCCTCTCTCTCTCTCTCATTCACCTCACTTAGAATGAAAGTGGCGAAACGATGCGTTTGAGTTATACTTAGTGAAGAGTGACAACACCGTTTGAGTTGGAATGCACCGATTCGTGAAATAGAGCGGTACTGAGTGAACGAGTCAGGGTTTTCAGTATTTGAGAACTTCGACGCCCACTCTCATTTCTCTCTCCACCATTTTCTGAGTTCATCATTCCAAATCATAATTTCTCAATTTGTTAGTTCTTTTTTTTTTCCAACTCAGTTACCTATTCTAACAGTTTTTATTTTATTTTTTTGAAATTAAAATTACTGATATACGAATGAATCATAATTGATGCTTTTGGTTGCATGTGTGTTGAATCAGGAAGAAGAAGTTGTTGCGATGAAGAGACAATTTCCATCGAAGGAGAATCAAGTTTCTGTTGATGCAATGGACTCTTGTTCCGCAATTTCCGTTCCATCATTTCTCATTCCAGTCCCCAATCTCTGCACAGACATCAACTCGTTAGGTATTATTGCTAACATCCCAATTACTGTATGAATTTCTCTTTCAATTCAATTTCAATCAAGTTAAATGTTTGATACTGTAATAACTAGTCATTATTTTTTCATTCATTTCTATGTTTTCATTTCAATTAAATACTCATTTTGTTAGAGACATCGAAGATCTTTATACCATTTATTTCCTATCTATTTTCCTTTTTTGTATTTCTTACTTTCTAAATAAGCATAGAATTCAATGTAATTCATGACACAAATATATTGATTTACAGTTCTCTTTTATGCTAAGTTGTTACATTTCCCCTGGTCAGACCGGAGTAGTAAAATCGTGCCGTAGGCTTAGCAACTTATTGAAATCTATCAACCCTAGACAGCACAGCCACCTAATCTGCCGAATCCTTTCTGTTATGCTAAATGGTCAGAGAGTTGAACTATAACTTTGTAAATGGCCATATCTGAACGAATCGAGCGTCGTTAGCACCGCTGATTCCGGTTCCTTCGCCATGACCTCCATTCTCAATGTCGGAGAAAAGAAGGAAGAGAGGCTGTGTTGATTTTTCGGATGCAGATTCGGATCTGAGTAAATTGTTGTTGTTGTTTGTTTTGGCGACTGGTGGTGATGCTGATTACTTTGATCATCAAATTGCATGGATCTGGTTCTTAGATTTTGAGTGGTAATGTGTCACTCTTACCAGTAACAATAAATTATGCAGTTCATTTTAACAATAGAGTGGATCAACACTTGCCAAACAAAAATAGTTTACTTCAAGTATATAGAAAAAATAAACCAGACCTAAACCAACTGTGAACTGTTTCGTCAAAATAAACCAGTTCAACTCAAATGCTCGTAGAAAACCAAAATTTAGTCTTTATATTTGATTTATTCATTTAGGTTTGGTTAGCTTATGAACACCCCTGATTGTGAGAGGCTAATTTTCTTTATGATGCCTTTATGTTGTTTCAATGTAAATAACATTTTGCATCACCATGTTCAAAATATTTGCTTTAGGGATTACTTCAAGTATTTTGCTTTAGGGATTTTTTTTAATCATTTCTATTCAATTGAAGTTTTGAAAACATTGCCATATTCTGAATTATTTGGTCATAATTCATTGCTGTTATCATTTCTATAAAACTTGAATTAGTTGTTACTTCTCAATAGTGGGTTTCACCTTGATCTAGTCTGTTTCTTTGGTTTCTAGACAGCACGTCCTTTCTTAATTTATTTTTAATCCTTAGTCTAATTGATGTTTTGTTCTTATTTAAGAACTGGGACTCACCAGACGGGCAGCAATGTATCAGGACTACATGAAGCAGATCCCAATCCCGACTAAACGAGGCTCTGTCATTCCGTTTACATCATGGATGGGATTAGGCAAATCCATTAAGCAGCTATACGGGCAGCCTCTGCATTACCTCACAAATGTGGCCCTTATGCAATGGGACCAGTTGAGAATTGGCAGTGAGGATGAATGGAAGCCCTTGGACGATATAGTTCATCCATGCAAAGCAGAAGCATCCATCTGGCTCATGGAAGAAATCCATCGACAAACCTCGTCACATTTTTATATTGCTAATCTCTGGAAGAAGGACCCAATGTACAGTGGGTTTGTTGATTCCATTTTCCCAAAATTGGAGCAATCTTGAATCCTTTACTCATTATGTTTTAGAGTATTTTCCATTTTAATACACAACTGCATGAAAGTGTTTGTCTCCCAGGATACTGCTAATGATGTAAAGGGGATTAACTAACCTTTAGTGTTTGGTAACTTTAATATTAAGGATATATACTGCAATTGTTTATTAGTTTTCCACAATAAATAAGAAGAAATCCATACTGCATTCTCAATTTTAAGAACAAATGGGTTTTTAGGCCTTTGACTCGATTCCTTTCCTTTTTGAGAGTTTTTAACATAAGAGGGAGTGTGTCAAGGTTATTTTATATGAACATGATTTTGATTATATAAGTTTATAAGTGATGATAGTTTTATTTTTTCTCTTTTCAAACAAAAGCCTCCATTTCTATTTCTTTTTAAAGTTTGTGATGTATCCTAAATTAGCATAGCATATTTGTGCATCTATTTGTCTGGTAAACGTGATATCTAAAGTTATCAGTTTTCAACCCTAAACCTCCTTTTCAATAATTTACGCATATTTTTTGATATATTTAAATATATTATATAAATTAAAATTGAAATATGATGTGATATAAAGTTAGATTATATGTTATATAAATTAGAATTGAAATATGATGTGATATAAAGTTTGATAATATATATATATATATATATATATATATATATATATATATATATATATATATATATATATATATATATATATATATATATATATATATATATATATATATATATATATATATATATATATATATATATATATATATATATATATATATATATATATATATATATATATATATATATATATATATATATATATATATATATATATATATATATATATATATATATTATATATATATATATATATATATATATATATATATATATATATATATATATATATATATATATATATATATATATATATATATATATATATATATATATATATATATATATATATATATATATATATATATATATATATATATATATATATATATATATATATATATATATATATATATATATATATATATATATATATATATATATATATATATATATATATATATATATATATATATATATATATATATATATATAATATATATATATATATATATATATATATATATATATATATATATATATATATATATATATATATATATATATATATATATATATATATATATATATATATATATATATATATATATATATATATATATATATATATATATATATATATATATATATATATATATATATATATATATATATATATATATATATATATATATATATATATATATATATATATATATATATATATATATATATATATATATATATATATATATATATATATATATATATATATATATATATATATATATATATATATATATATATATATATATATATATATATATATATATATATATATATATATTCAAAGATTAATATAAAATACATTTTTAGTGACTAATACAAAATTTTTAAAATTTTGGTACTTGCACCAAAAAAAAGCCCAACAATAAATTAAAAGTCGAGAATTTAACTCCGAATTTCAATTTATTATGTACTTGATAAACTTAAATTTGGAGCATTTAACTTGCTACATAATAATGAGTGAAAATTATTCATTTTTTTCATGATTTAATTTTTCTAGAATAACTGACTCGATAAAAAAAACTATCCGATAAAATATATACATATAATAAAAAATATGATACACACAAGAATACAAAATAAATTAGGATGCTGCTGATATGCTGCTGAATCCGATACTTTTGCATCTCCAGTACAATTATGTCTGTAATGGTCAGTGACAGAAGACAATGGATAACCAGGTTTTAATTTTAACTGAACCCAATGATTATTGTTGACAAAACCAACAACAATGATTTTATATTTGCTCGTATGCATAGGTGAAGTTAAGGTAAGAGGGGGAAATGTGATGTTAAGTCTCTTGGACATGGAGACAAATACGACATTGTATCTACAAGAAATAAGGTAACGCATATCAGGAATCGTCATCCATTTACTGCACACAAAAGTGTTTTATTCATAACACATTCCTAACTGTCGAGACCTTGTCATAAAACAAATTGAGGGTGTTGATGAACTTGAGTATCAAACTGCACCCGTATCAAAGGCAGTGACTCTTCGCCCTATCTTTGTAAAGCTGCAATAGCCCAAAAATCATAATTCTCATCGTCACTCACATCGACAATTTCATCAATGTATGGATGTAAGAAATAAGAAAACTAAGACAAGTAAACATCTCTCAAAGATATGGTGGACAGTTGACTTCTAGCCGACATATTTGGTGGTTGACTTCCAATTGATTTTGTGCATGATCTCTTTGTAGTTTGACTCTCGCACGAGCCCTTACCATACTTTCATTGTGAAGGTTCTCGATGCACATGACTCTCTTGACACTTTCTACTCTTCTTAACTCCCCTCTTTGACTTATACTTCTTGTAATTTCTTCCAAAACTTGGTTCTAAAGGAACATGATTGCCTTGTATTTAGAAACCGGAAAGTTGACATGCACACAGTAACTAGGAGTGCCAAAGCGGGCGACCCGCCCCGTTTAGATCCGATCCATTTAAGCTCGTCGAAAAGCGGGGCGGGGCGGGCCAACTTAGGCGTTCGAGCTCAAAAGTCAAGTCCGCCCCATTTTCTAACGAGTTGGCGGGTTGGCCCGCCAATTTTTTTACAATTTAATTTACTACATAATTTACAAAATTGTTAATCATTACCAAAGAGGCCGACAAAATTTAACAATACATAGTAAAACTTTAATAAGTCTTAATCTAAATGTCATATTCTTCAACATAAACAAAAAATATCATTTATATTTTCATTCATGCGTATTAAAAAAATGGACAGACGGGCATGGACACTAGTTGTCATAATGAGAAACAAATTCTTTGTGCAAAATTTACCTTATAGCTTTAAAACCCGGCTTCAATGACAACGTGTAATAGAAAATAGAAAAGAATGTATTCTCTATGTTTTACTATAAATACTTTTTCTACTATGAGTAAAAATAAAGAACGAAGCAGAGACCAATTAATGTCTTCAAAATGAGGTGTTTGTGGTTATGTAAAAAATGAATATTAGGTATTGCACACAAAGAACTAAAGAAGAAGAATTATAAATCCCTCTTTATAATCCATCAATGTGTTGGTCTAGATAACTTCGAAAAGGTCAATGATGTAGAATCATCAAAAGAAGCATGGGAAATTCTAGAAATATCATTTAGAGGTGTTGAAAAGGTGAAACAGGTGAGGTTACAAACTAAAAAAAATGTATGAATTGCTTCAGATGGAGGAAACTAAAAGCATAACTAATTTTTTTCACTAAGATTACAAAATCGGTGAATCAAATCAAGGTATGTGTAAAAGTGTTGACATCAAGATCAATTGTTGCAAAGATCTTGAGGTCATTGAATCCAATGTTCGACCACCTGGTAGTGGCCATAGAAGAATCAAAAGATTTGTCAATATTGACAAAGGAAGAGCTTCAAGGGACGCTTGAATCTCATGAACAAATAATGGATAAAAAAGCTGCAAGCAAGCCAAAAAGTGATGTGGCTTTACATGTCCAGTCAACAAGAGAAAAGAAAGGCAAAGGAAAATGGTTCAACAACAAAAGTAGAGGAGGCTACAACAATTCGACTGGTCGAAGTCAGCAAGAAAGAGGTTGGTCGAATCAGAGAAAGTCCTCATATCAAAGCAACCAAAGAGGTGGTGATGCAAGTAGGGGAAGAGGTGTTGGTAAAAAACCTGACAAAAGTCACATTAAGCATTTCAATTGTTAGAAGTATGGTCACTAATTTAGTGATTATTCTAAAAAAAAGAAAAGAATCAAGAAAGTGATGCAAAGTTTGAAAAGTGTGAAGAAGAAGAGACATTATTGATGGCCATAACAAGAGATAAAGAAAGATTCCAAGACCAATGGTACTTGGACTCAGGATGCTCATCATACATGATTGGTAGGAAAGATTGGTTTGTCAACATAAAACCTTCAATGAATAACATGATAAAATTTGCAAATAATAATACTCTAGCAGCTAAAGGTATTAGCGATTTTCTGATTATGAGGAATGATGAAAAAATGTCAGTAACTTCCAATGTACTGTACATACCAGGCATGAAACGTAATTTTCTCAACATAGGGGAGTTGGTAAAAAAGAACTACAAAGTGTCAACTAAAGACAAGATGATGAGAGTTCTCAACTCAGGTGGAAGGTTAATCTTGAAGGCTCTCATGTCTCAGAATAGAACCTTCAAGATTGAACTTAGTGTGTTGGAGCACAAGTGTCTTGCAATTGCACCTAGCAGAGATGAATGAATATGACACTATAGACTTGGTCATATCAATTTTAAAGACATCATAGATCTGAAAAGAAGAAATATGTTCTCAAGGTTACCAGAAATTGACATTCCAAATGAAGTGTGTGAACAATGTGTACAGGCAAAGCATCACAAGAATAACTTCAACAAGGATGCAGGAAGTAAGTCGAAGGCAATTCTTGAATCATATACTTTGATATATGTGGTCCTATCCAGGTGGATTCGTTTGGAGGTAACAAATACTTTGTCACATTCATAGATGGCTTCAGTAAAAAAATTATGGACTTATCTGATCAAGAAGAAACATGAAGTGATTGAGGTATTTTTCAAATTTAAATATATAGTCGAAATACAAAATGGTTGAAAACTCAAGATTATGAGGACTGATGGTGGTGGAGAATATGTGTCGAAAGACTTCGACACATTATGTGAGAAATGAGGGATTGTGCATGAGGTGGTGCCACCCTACACTCTACAACAAAATGGAACTGCAGAAAGGAACAATAGAACCATCATGAATATGGTGAGAATTATGTTGAAAGACAAACATATACCCAAATAAATTTAGGGAGAAGTTATGTTGACTGTAACATATGTTTTGAACAAATGTCCGATGAAAAGGCTAGAA